AAAAGAATGTGCATGGCTTCTGCTTTGGGTGCTCATTGCTGCGTTCTGTCCTCCGCTGTTTGGCGTGCTGTGGTGCCGGGGTGGTGGTCCTGCGCATGGTGGCTTTGGCCTCCGTGTTTTGTATGGCAGGGCGGGCGTCACTGGGCTTGGCGGTTGCATCGGGCCTCTCGGCGTTATGTTGAGGTGGGGTTTGCTTGTCTGCTGGGTGGTTCCTGGTGGGTGGTGTGTTCTTGGGGTTGGTGGTCTTCACCGTGCCCCTACCGATGAATGGAAGGATGTGTGGTGTTGCTGTGGCGTTGGCTCGGGGGGAACCGCAGCTTGGCTTGGCTCTATCGTTTCTGCTTGGCTGGCATGGATGTTAGTGGTTCTGCATCTCAGCGGGGAGTGCGGCCTCTTTGCTATGATTGCTCTTGGCTCTATCGTTTCTGCTTGGCTGGCATGGATGTTGGTGGTTCTGCATCTCAGGGGGGTGTGTGGCCTCTTTGCTATGATTGCTGTGGCCTTTCTTTGCTGCCCTTCTGCTTGTTAGGCTGGTGTCTTTCCCTTGGGCACGGTGGTGGGCGGGGTGGTGCATCGCGGGGTCTGCTTGACTGCCTGCCTGCCCCAGGGGGTCTCAGCTCGATTGTCTGTGGGGTGTGCAAGTGCCTATGCTGGTCCGGAGCTTGCATTTGGGTGGGCCTGCCGTTTAGGGTCGGGTGTTTCTTGTTGGCGGCCTCGGTGTTGGTGTGAGACGTGTTTTGTTGCCCTGCTTGCCTGAATGTGGCTGGGGTCTGGTGCCGGGCATCGGGGCTCTGTTGGCTCTGCCCCGTGGTTCAGGGGTGGTTGGGCATGTTGTTCATGTGCCCTCCTTTGTGTGGCATATTCTGGTTGCGCTGGGCCGGCTGGTCTGCTCTTTTTTCTGTGGTGAGGCCGCACTCTTGGTAGATGCTGCGCACATTTACGGCTGGCTCCTTTTGGTTGGGGGTCGGTGGCTCCTTCGGGCGGGGAACTGGGTGTTGTGGGGATCAGGGTTTGAGGGTTTGGATGGTTCCGGGGGGGGAGCTGGGGGTGTTGGTCCTGGTTTTCGGTCGGTTCTCGGGGCTTGTTCCCTGTCCCTTCGCGCGATGGATGTGCCTATGCCTCAGTCCCTTGTTGGAACTCGGCGAACAGGGGTGCCTCTAGGGGTCAACCGGGGAGCTGGCTCCCTGGGAGAGCATTTTGACCCCCAGTCCTTCCCTCCCCATCCCCAGAGACCTCCCTCCGCCCACTCCATTACACTACCACTCATGTAGGGCCTTGGGGTGCAGGTGCATCATTGGGGTGCCGCAAGGGATTTCCATCTTTGCGGTCGCATGGCAGCCTGTGCCCCAATTAACTAATATTAATTAATAACTAATTAATTATTTATTAATTAATAACTTAGACACTCATTTATAACATTTTCAGGGATTCATATGTAGGGCCTTGGGTGTGAGTGCGCTCAATGGCACTAAGAGGGAGTGTATTTTATTACCCTAGCCTCTGGTGCCTGCGCTCACCTCTAAGGGTTAAGTTGCATGTAGACATTTAGGGTTCTGGGTGGGGTGGGGGTGTGGGGCATGGCAGATCCTCTTCCCCACCCATTTTTATTTTTAAATGCACACTACAACAACATGCATCAACACCACATTTGAGCGGGCGGGGGTAGGCTTGGGGTCTTTTCCCACCCTCGTTTGCTATTTGCCGTCTGGGGTCGAAGGCCGGGAGAGGGAGCGGGCCTTCTGGTCGGGATTTGGGCTGGGGTTGAGGTTCGGGTCTTGGGGGTTGTCTGGTGTTGGGGCTGGCTCTTCGGCCCTCTCGGGATCGTTCGGATTGCATTGGATCTCGGTCCCCGGTTTCAGTGCCCGGTCCGTCGGTTGGGGAGGTGTCGAGCTCCGGCGAGGGGGTCTTGGGCAGGCGGCGTGCAGAATTGATTGAGATCTGGGTGGGGTGGGTGGGGTGGTGGAGCATGTCTTGTGCCCCCACTGGGGTGGCTGATGAGATGTGCTTGGCCTGAGTGGTCACCGGCATCTGGATCGGGTGAGCGGCGATGGTAGAGCTGAGCTGGATAATGTTTCTGGCTGGGCTATCATTTCAGTAAAAGTGACGTGGTGTGATGTGGCAGTGATGTGATGTGGCAGTGGTGTGATGTGATGTGGCAGTGGAAGTGATGTGGCAAGGGGCCCTTGCCTTGCTGTCGCAGCACACTGTGTGGTGGGGGTGGGACATGGCAGGGATGCTTGGAGCGGGGCTGTGCGTGGAGCTTGCGCTTTGTGGGTGTTGCTTCGTCTGCCTTTCGGGGATGAAGCTCTCCTGTGGGAGTGTGCCCATGTGCTGTGTGTTGGGGGGGGGGGATTCATGGCGTTTGAGTTCGGGGGCATGTGTTTGATATCTGTGTCCTGGTTGGGGGTGGCCCAGTGGGGAGATTCATGTCGGGTTCATTGGGGGTGGATGGCTCATGGGGTTGGGATCGGAACTCATTGGGGGTTGGGACTATTTTATTCTGGTTGGCAGGCTTGTTTGGACCATGTAGACCCCTCTTTTGTACATGGACACCTCCCCGGATGAGGATGGGGGTGGTTGGGGACTGGGGTCAGGGCGGGGGGTTGAGGTCCAGGCCGGGGTCACTCAGGTTCAGGCACAAGCTCGGCTAGCCCAGACCAGGCAGGTGCTGAGGCGGTCTGCCTGTCTCCACCCCCGGAGGGAAGGGGACCACCTCCTGGGTCCGGGGGCTGGTTGTCCCTATGGGGTATCGCCACCTGGACCTGCGAGTATAGAGTAAGTATGGGGAGTGTGAATGAGTGTACGACATCCATTGTTGTTTGTCTTTACGTTGGGTGCGTGGGTGTGAGTGTTTTTATGTGTATGCATGAGGGTGGGAATGTGTGATTGTGTGTACCTGTTTTTTGTGTCAGGTAGGGTCTTGGGCTGCTCCCTCTCCTGAATCAGTTTAGGCCCCCATCAAATGTGGGGCCTATTCCCTCCCAGCCACACTACCTGCCGGTGGTTGGTATTTCTGCCCGCCGGTGTACTTGTGGTTCTCGGTATCTGGGGCTGGGTGCTCTGGTGTGTGCTGGCTCACTCCTGGTGGGGTGCTTGCCGGGGCCTGGACCCCTGGGCTCAGTTGGGCCTCTGCTTGGGAAGGGATATGTCCCGGGGTCTCAGGTCTCTGGGTCCATGGCTGGATCTGCTCGGGCATAGACGGTTGCCGGCGGGGCCTGAGGGCTCGTCGCTGCAGCTCCCTGGAGCTTCTGCACTGTGGCTGCTGGGTGGTTCCGGTGGGATTCTCCCCTGCTCCTCTCTGGGGGGGTTACGGTAGTCCCGGCAGTGGTTCTCCTGGTGTTGCTGTGCTCTGGGGGGCCTGTGGATGTCTGTGGCTCAGATCTCCTCCGTATCTGTCCCAGGGCTGTGGCTCCTCACACTCACTATTGCATATTTTTATGGAGAAGCCTTGTATGCACATGGGCACTCACACTCAGACCCACAGGTGTTTATATTCAGGTGATACACAAATGTTCTATTTTGAGCCTCATTTACCACATAAATTAAATACATCTTGCATTTATAAGTACCTGCACCTTTCGGTAAAAAGGCTGGTAATACGAACATTTTTGCAAGTGTAGAAGCAAGCAGGGTGTTATCTTGTGTTCTCTTCATCCCTCTTTCTTTCCTCCATTCTATTCTCCTTCTCTCCCCTTTTCCTTTTTGCCTCCTTTTCTCTCTTTCACGCTTCTTTTTTTGCCTTTCCATTTCTGTCTCCGTGTCCGTAACAATTGAAATAATCCCAAAGCAGTTTCTAATAGTTTCTTTTTATGAATATCAAGCCGAGCTTTAAAGTATTAGCTGTATTGCTCCACTTGTGGAAGTAAATCTGTTGGGCTTTTTCTTGGCACTCAGACAACAATTCTAAGTGCTTCTCTGCTGGACAGGACACGGTAAAAAATAAAAATAAAAAATGAAGAACGCAAGGAAAGAGGAGAGGAAGGAAAGACAAAACAAAGCAAGAACAAAAGGAAGAAAAGTAGGACAAATTGAATAAATGAAAGAACATAATAAAAGAAGGAAAGAGTACAGAAGGAAGGCCCCCAGACATGGATAAACACATGGACTCTGAACTGTACATAAAGAAAGATGCTGGCAGAAAACTCCATGAACCTTTTAATATAATTTTTATAATTCTTCAAACTTAGGTCCATTGTTGACTACGATCTCATGTTAGCAAATCCGTCGATCAAGAACAAACAAAAGTTAAGTATGATCTATTGTTAGAGTACCCAGTGATTATGCAAAAGGAGAATTAAAACAACCTGTCTTCAATTTCAACTTTTCTTTCTGAGCTTCTGCAGAAAACCAACCTGAGTAAGTCATGTCCCCAAACAGATGTTGTCTCTAATCATGTCGAATGAAGTGCCTTCATTCCTCCATGCAAGAGAGGAGACCAAGGGAATCACAGTATTGCACATCTTCCAACTTTTCAGTCCGGTTGCAGAAGCAACCCATGACCCAACTTAGCTTTACCCAAACCAGCACCCTTTGGACCTCCCATCCTCCTTCTTCATATAAGAGGTGGTGATTGGGCAGAGAAAATTAGTTTAGGATGAAACAATCTAGATATTGTTCATTTCATGATGTTTTGCTTTGTGTGTGGTTCTATAGGTTGAACTATTTGAGTTCTTTAACGCAGATCAGCCATAACACACCGCCAGTGCTCATACGCACATTAATGTGTATATTAATAGTAGTTAAATGTATATGTTTGACTTTAAAGAAGTGGTTGAAAAACCTATATGCTTTCCTGTGTTAGCTGAAACCACTAATAAATACTTCTAGCGCCAGGCAAGTCAAATGTTTACATCCGACTCGCCGCCATTTTATGAGTAAAAACATGTACCTCTCTGCCATTTTAGTAGTAAATGGACTGAACTTATATAGTGCTTTTCCACTCATGCAGACCACTCAAAGCACTTTACACTAGAGCCACACTCACCCAATCGCACTCAACATATGGCAGGAGGAAGTTGGACTCAAACCCACGACCTTCTGATTGCAAGACAGCTGCTCTTCCTACAGAGCTACAGTCACCTCTGATATCAAAATCAAAGTTAAGAATCAGTTCAATTTATGTATTCATATAGTGCAGATCAGTGATCCAAAAGGGTTGATTTCTAATTCAGCAATAATTCTTTAAAATATTATTTTATTAAAATAATGTTTTATCTACTCCTCTGATTTTGCGTTGTTACTGGTTGTTTCAAGACATACGAATTATTGTTCTTAATTACTTGTTAAATTAATCTCATTTCCAAGTTTCTTAAGATAAACCTTGGTTCTAAAACATAAATATTAACAGTCATATTATTGCATCAGTTTTATTGGTTCCCTTGGTCCTTATTTGTATATAGTTCATTAGTTTTTTTTATTCCTTCAGTTTGCTTGGTATTTTAGTTGAATTGTTCTAGCCTAGTAAAGAGTTTGTTAATTGAAATATTTTAACTTGGAATTTAATTGTTTTGTTAATACATTCTTAGATTTTGGAGAGAAGTTATTGTGAATTTATTCCATATGTGTGCAGAGTTTACTGTTCAATAATCCCAATGCTCGAATCACTCTTTCATCTATTGTCCTAACATCACCCCATATTGTGCTGGTATTCCCAGGACAATACTTGACAGACCAAATGGCCATTTTAAAAAAATATAAAATAATATAAGCCTCCTGATTGCACAACAATGCTACTACTACTACTACTACTAAATAATAATAATGATAATAATAATAGGAGAATAAAAAGATGAAAGAAAAGACACAAGAGGGAAAAGAAGTATGGGCACAAGGAAGGAAGAAAAAAAGGACAAAGTATGAAAAGAAAAACAAAAGGAAAAGAGCAAGGAAGGATACAAAGAAGGGAAAAGGACAAAGGATGAAAGGAAAGAAAGGACACAACATTTGTGCAAGAGATCTGAAATAGTCTGGAGATACAAATATTATTTTTCCATATTAATCAAGACCTGGAGAATATTGAATCAAATCCCACACTTTTTCAAACTGTTTAGGAACTCTGCACGTATGAAAATTAAAAAGCCAATAGATCTCACTCAATATACACTGCTCAAAAAAAGGAAGGGAACACTTAAACAACACAATATAACTCCAAGTAAATCAAACTTCTGTGAAATCAAACTGTCCACTTAGGAAGCAACACTGATTGACAATCAGTTTCACATATTGTTGTGCA